GAATAAATCAATTATCTTACTTTATAGTTAGCATTTTGTTGCATGACAGACCAGGCATTTGTTTCTGACCAAGTCCAGTACTGATTATTTGTCGTTTTATTGTTGACCCTCTTGAACGAATATATCTCAAACTGTTAAAATATTCTACTGACCTTTGCCATGTCCTCTGCCCCTCCCATAGGCATTTGTTGCCGGTGGGATGAGGGTCTCATCAGAGACTCTGGTCCCATGTCTAGACGAGGCCTTTTGATTTCCGCATACTCCAACTCTGACTGGGTGCTGGGATCTGGCAGGTATATGTGTTCATAGCGGATATGCTGTTCTTGTCCTCTGCAACAGAAAAAATACAAATGTCTCAGATAAGAGAAAAGCAGACAAAGCTACTGCAGTTATTTATATGGTTATGATGATTATCAGTTGGTCAATACAGAAAAGGGTAGAATGAACCTTTTACAGAGAAATAGCTATCTGCACCTTTTCCTGTGTACCGATATAAAAACAGAAAAGTGCATTTTTGTTTACATCTGTCATATTATTTTATTTCTTAATTGAATTTGTGTTTTATTTCTATTATTTTTATTAATAACCACATCTATGATTAACCTGTAAAATAAAATTGACATTTTCAGAATCATCAGCCAATTTTTTAAAACCAGAAACTACATGTATATACACACACACATTGTTTTCACTCCCCAATATCTGTATTGCCATTGGTCCCAGAAATTCTTCCAATAGCCATACATGTTAACAAGCTAACTGTAGGCTTGTTAGCGCACAACTGTTAGCAAGGCTATATGTTAGAAGGGCTATATTGTATATACTATACATACTATTCATCTAAAAGCAAAGTAGAAATAGGGTATAACTGAGGCTAAGGTAAATGAATTCCAGCTGATATTGATGAAAATTGAGCAACATCTGATACTGTTGGATGCAGAGACTGGTCCAAATGAAAACCTAATGAAAAATAAAGACTGTGTGAAGTTTGGAAATTTGATGTGATCTTAAAATTTTGGATGAGACCTCAGTAGCAGGACAAATACTCAAGTGAAATGTGGATCAAACAGAATGAGAAAATCAATCAAATAGATGGACATAAAAAGAATCAATAAGGTTTAATGTTTCAAATCAAACTGATACCCCAGGTTAAATAATATGAGGTGTGAAGACAACAGCAACATTTAGACAATACTGATCTTCTGAGGAAGAGATGAGCCTTGGTGCTGGTTTTGTGCGAACACTGTGTTCAATTCAAATCCTATTTATATAAGACACATTGAACCACACAAAGACACATTTGCACAAAATGACTGCTAGAGCCTGAGTTCATGCTGATTTAAATCTTTACTGTTGTGTTAAAGGCTACACACCAACGCCAGCTGGCTTGCTTTGGCTCAAAATATCATCATCATCATAAAGTAATCACTGAAGACTATTTTTCTGCAAATTGGGCACATGTAATGGGTTATTGAATCGAGGAAAGTGGAAAGAAAGGGAAGCAAGAAAACTGGAAAAAATGACTCACTGTAACACTACCATCTAATAGTTTTAAATATCAGAGCATATGGAAGAGCTGCTCTTGTGTGGGGCTTTGCAGGCAATGCTCGGTGGTCAAAGGCCACACACACAAAGCTCAAAGGTGTAAAAAATGAAAGCTGTGACACTCCCCATACAGCCTAAAATTAGAGCTGATGTAGATGGCAGGGAATGCCAACAATTACACTGGAAGAGAGGGAAGCACCTAGTGCAACTTGATCTGGTAATGATCTGCTTGTGTGATGCTAGTATAAACCATACTCTGTACATTTCCATCACAATCATTAAACTCATTCCTACATAGGACTAAGCAATTAAACAATATTTAAAAAAAAGTATTGTAATATAATTTTGATTATGACAACAAAAGTCATATATATGCATTGTGCAAGCACAGTGAGGAGGTGAAACATAACTGATCTGTCGCAGATGTGTAAAATATTTGTTAAGCAGTGTTTTCTGACTATGGTGGCACACCATATTTGTATTATCCCTGCCATAGTTTTCTAATGAACCAAATTTTTCTGCACAATCACTCATGCTCTGGTCCAAAACCTTTTAATTGACCATGCAGTCAGCTCCACTTTCCAGTTTTTAGCGGCTCTGTCAGTAATATTCATCCTCTCTAGTATATCTGACATGTGCGCTGTGCACTATGTCAAATCAAATAGAGCGACACAATCTCCTCCAGCTCTACATACATTTACTAAATTTATCAGACAGACAAGAGAGAGGGCCTGACAGCAGATGAATGTGCTGCTCTGATGAAAGATTTAACTCAATAATTAAAGTATCGATTATTATGTAATGATCAGTGTTGATATTGTAGTGACAAACAAATAAACTTTTAAACTGTAACGTGTTAGAGACACCGGCTGAGAGAAGGAGAGAGGCCTACGCAGTGCAGTGTGTGTGTGTGTGAATGTGAAAGCTGTTACTTCCCTCGGGTTCTGGGATCATAAATAAGCTTCACATAATCAACAGCTCATAGAGATGAATCCTACTTGGGACAAAGCGATCACCAGAAGTTTCCACAGTAGAATTTTGTAGGAGGAGGGGGAGTGAGATTTGACGGGGCCGCGTCACTCCGTCAAAGTGTTTTCTCTGTATTCCCTTCTTATTCTCTTGTTCTGACAATTATTCATTGAAAGAAAACTGACACACAGACGAGAATGCGTTGCATGAAACTCCATTTGACGCATTTTTTGCCATCTTTTGTTTTACGTATATCACCCATGTTGACACTGCAATGTCAATAGATATTCGGTATGTGGTGCAGACCAAATTAAATCTGTGGGAAACACTGTCAAGTGTCTGTCATTCAATGCTCATGGAGTTTAAAACCACAGCCTTCATTCAGGAGCAAATGTTGTTTATTAACTTTAAAGAAATACAAATGTAAGATTTATTTTTGATAATTCACTGACATGAACATTTTTATCTTGATATAATTTTTGCCCATATTGCCCAGCCCTATTTGTACATTCAGGGAAATATCCAGCAACAAGCTGGAGTGCACCAACAAAGCAGGCTCTTAGTGTGTAGTCAAATGATAGCTTCCGAATGTGAACTGCACCCGCTCCTTAGATGTGGGAAATTTTATTAGCCCACTTGTAAATGGCTCTCTGTTCTTTCTAAGAGAAGAGTTTTCTCCAGTGTGCCCTTGAGGCAGATGCCAGAATGTCAGCGACTTTGCTGCCAGTGTCAAAATGGAAGTGGCTTCTTAAGAGAAGAGGGAAAACACAACCATAATTGCTGGTCCAGGCCCACAATGGCCTAGTGTGTGGTTTTTCCATGTGCCAGAGAACATGGAGCCTTTCTCTGTCTCGCAGAGTGCTGGTGGGGTGGCGTAACAATGGAGACCATCCTCTGACTACCACAGAGGTTTTCACAAGGGAGAGATAAGTCAGTTCAGTTATGTAATAAGCGAGACAGATTCTGCATGTTAAACAGTGCCGTGGGGTGTCAAGGAGAGAAACTGATTGTGGATGTTTATCTGTGCAATGGCCTGAATAGTACTTCGAAAAAGAGAGGGCAAAATTGATATCAAGCTGGTGTGTAACGGCCCCCTCCCGGAACACATTTTTCTGACTCATTCAGTCACACACTTCCTCATTTCCATAGAGGCCTGGCACTTACATAATCACATCATCAGGCTCCAGACCACCCCCCACCCCTTTCTCAATCTTTCTTTCTCCCTCTCCCTCTTGTGAGCGTGCAGAATAAGCTGATCCCCGGGGAGGATTTGTCTGGAGGATGAGAGAAAGAGATGTGTGTAGAGGTAGAGGGGGAGGAGCGTGTGGGGAGGAGAGGGTAGGGGGCAACAAAATACACAACACAACTGTTCACAACAGCTCCATCGCTATCTTACTGGCTTGGGCCCCATTACGACAAGAACGGGGATCTTGTGTGCTGATAGACGCCTGTTACAGTGAAAGTGCATCGGCTGCCAATCTCTCTTTTGCTCCCCAGAGGAGCAGCTCAGCACAGCTGTGAGCGGGGCAGGGACGGCTAAGAGAGAGAGTGAAGCAAGGCTAACTGCACCACAGCTTGAAACTGAGAGCACAGGAGGGAAGGGACAGTAGATGGAGTCCACCACCTGTGTTTACATGGTAAACACAAATATCACAGTCAATCAAGGATACATGAATTACTGAGAGCAGTTTTCTAAAAATCTATTTGTCTGATAAATTATGAAGTAGGGCTGGGCAATAGAACAATAATAACTATCATTAAAATGTTTGCTGTTTATCAAGTGTTTGTCATTCTGTCCATAAAGAAGTTTGAAACCACAACCTTCACTAAGGACTTTGGAATCCACAAGGGTCAGTATTTAGGAACTATGTGGTTAGGTTCATTGTGTCATTTCCAAACAATAATTAAAAATTACAAAAAAACAAAAATAGCGACAACTGAGTATGCAAAGAAATAGAATCTTATAAAATCAGATCGGTCATATTAAAATGGCATAGGACTTAGGTATAAGGGACAACAGCAGGAATTATTTTTGCACTGGTGTACTTATCAAGTCCTACTTTTATACCAATTTAATACATTCATTCTTCAAGGATATATGAGCATATTCACGGCTAGTGAACACTAATTTTGTATTATTGTTTCTTCTTTGTTCTGAGCAAAGTGGTTACTCTGTCTGGTTATTCTTGCAATAAAATGTATTCTCTCCCGTTTTCAAGTAGCCTGGCTGAGACAGATGGGAAGAGGCGGAGTGACTGAGCTATCGCCTGGAGTAAAGAGGAGGATGAAATAAACAACCAGCACAGTGGCTCACCAATGATTACACTGTTGTGGTTTTCTGACCTGTTATTAAGGAACACTTGGAGCAATAACTGAATGGCACATTTTCATCTTGCCTTAAGTCCAATACAGTTACAGAGCAGATGACGGATGCATAGATCTATCTCACTGAAAAAGAGATAAAGCCATTCTTTAAGGAAAGCACAAGGCTATATTATTCTCACATTTTCTGTCAGAATGTGAACAACCCCGAGCATTCTATAAATGTGGACGTGGTGTGCAGAATTACTGAGACTTGTGAAAAGACAAGCACGCATTTGAGAGGAGAATAGATTGAAGGATTGCCAAGGCCAGAATTACACTATTCAGACTTGCAGAATAAGGGCTTTAGATTGGATTCTAAGCCCTCTATAGGAATGCTGAAGGCCTGATATATTCAACTGAAAGCCTCCCCACCCACAGACGCCTGCCAGCAAAACTAGCGGTTTATTTCAGTCTCCACAATGAAACGTGGGCTAACTGCTACTCTCCCATTTTTTGATTTGATGGGTTTTTTTATCTAGTGAAAAACAACTCCACTGATGTCGCACATGGCATCCGTCTTGGAGAAACAGATATTATGTAGAGTGACAAAGAGTGAGTGCGAAAGCCGCTGTGATTGAAGGAAAGGTGTCAGCAAATAAGGAGCTGGTGGGTGGCAGCTGAACAGCGTGGTGTTTATGACCTAGTGTTCCCACAATGTGTGCTAGGCTAAGTTAACCATTAAACAGTGCCTTGTACACAGCTCTGTGATTTACATTGAAGACCATAATCCTATCTGATTGATACTTAGAGACGTGGACACAACACGCAACAGCGACACACACACACCACTACAGAGTCATTCTACCATGCTGCTGCAACTCCATTGCATTCCTGACATACAATTTATTTGACACATCTTGAAAGACAGCCACCACCCCACAGCCTACTGTTCATGTAACAAGTATCTGCAAGCAGATTTCTAGTAAAAATCAACCTCTTGAAATCTAAACTTTTTTCTCCTTGAATATTTAACATATGCAAGAAGATCTGCCCTGAGATTAAACTGGAGAGAGAAAAAATATTCTTGTGACTTATCCTCTGCAAATCCTCATGCAAAATTCATGACAAGCACATATATTATTAATAAGTACTCCTCAAGACTCATCCTCAAAAAAGCACGAGTATATAAATAATAAACAACTTTGGTGGGTACAAAACCTGAGTCTCCAGAGAGAGAGTACTATTCATACAATGCTTTGCCTGACTTACTCCTGGTCTTTTGAAGATGGCAAAACTCAGCAAGCTCCATTGCCTTGCAGAGCCGTTTAGCACAACATTACAGAGAAACGGCTTGCGAAAGCCAATTACATAAGGATTACACTGGGGGAGGGTTAACAGTCTTTAGTAGAATAATACTGCATAAAAATACAGCCTGCATGAAGCTTATAATAAACATGCTTTGTCCTGCAGTCAACAAGACTCAAGGACAAACACATTAAAGGGGCCATAGTAACATTTTCATGCGAGTGCTAACAGTCAAACAGTGAAAACCACATCATGCATCTCGTATCTGAAAAATTTATGATATTTAAAATAGCACATCATCAGCAGAGAAGGACGTTAAATAGGATATGTAATAAAATAATGGTGCAATTCTTCAGTTAAAGTTCCAGTGATTGTATCAGCCTGGTGTACATAGGGTTATGAAACTTAAAATGTCTGTATGAAAAACAAAGAGGGACCACAATACCGAACTTTGTAAATCATCCTGCTGACCCAAAACAGACTCAAACACCACTAACCTCTTTTATCACCTAGACAAGAATCATGTCAAACAGAACGGAGAGAGTCTACTGAGAGTCACAAGCGTACTCACAACAAACTCAAAAGTTGCAGTAGAGGATAAAAGCTGGCACTGCAACTTACATCTACAAAGGCCCAATTTATGCGACCAAACAAAGATTTGAGTAATGAGTCACGATTAACAGCCTCTGTTTGGGATTTTGGTCAGTGCTACTATGCGCTGTAAATATTACCTTAATAAATGATACAACAGTGACCAGTGCAGTCGGTTATGTAAAAAAGCACAAGGAATCTATAAAAGATACTTTATATGAGCATAGTGAACCTACCTCTCATTCCCAGGTTGAAATTCTGAAAGCAAGGATGGCCGACGGCGATGGGGCTGGGCCAGGTGGGAACCGTAGTCCCTGGCATGAGAGTGGTAGTCGACCAGTCCCACTTCCTGGAACACAAACGACAAAAACGTTTCAGCAATGGTTCTTTCTCTTTGAGAATGATGTAATGGCCCCTGAATTAGAAAAACATTGCCCAGGTTGTTTCCTCTGTGATATCCAGTCATTTTCTTTCCTGGTCTAATGTCTCTCACAAGTGGGGTAACACATACAACTAGTGTAAACATGCACCTCTGTCGACCGGAGGGTTTGTGGGACACAGTCCGTCAACCCTCATCTCCTCCTCAATGTGATGACAAGAAGGAGTGGTAGGATTAACTACATGTGCAGCTGTGGGGATCCTGTGGGGGGGGTAAGCCTTACATTTTCCCTCCATACAAGAACAAAAAAAAATCCCTAAAGTTCAGAGAATGACCTACTGCATCACCTTGAGGCCTCGTCTTTGAAGCACAGAAAGCTTTGTCCGCAGTACATAGACGAACAAAATCTTGATAATTAGGAGATGTGGGTGGAAAGAATGGAAAAGCCTAAAGGTGACTCCATGATGACAACATGAACTTTCAACTCAAGCATCTAATGAGGGTTCTGTGTGCACAACATTGTAACCTGGGAATGTTTCTATTGAAAAAAAACACCAGTAGGGGCCCCTGGGGTCAGACCCTCTCCAACGGTTCAGAGTAATACCATATTTACTAAATATCTATCAAGCAGGGAAAGTCGAAGCTGCAACTACAGTCAAATCTGTAACATGTTGAGGCGCCACAGTGGTGCCAATAAACGCATCATGTGCAGGCCCCTTACCGTGTGTGCCCGTTGCAGCTGCAGCGGTAGATTGGCAGGGTTGGGGAGGTGCCGTGTGTCCAGGCCAGCCCTCCGGCCTGGTGGCACAGACTGGGAGTGAGAGGACATCTTGGCACAGCCGCTTCCTCTACAAGCAGGAAGTGGGTGTGGCTAGAGAGCAAATGTCGTGCATTATTGGCTGCTTCTTTTAGCCAGAAACCTGTGGAGAAAAAACAACACAAGCCATGAGCAACATCATATTGAACCTGTGCACCTTCAAACCTGAGTAAGACAATGCAGAACACATTGCACAATAGGCGTAACTTTTGCTCAGAAACAATTTCATGTTTTACAGCCAAAACTTCCAGAGTAGTTTGAGATGAAAGTGTGTGTCTGTCTGCTCCGGATATCAGAATGTCATCACCTCCTGACCACAGCTGCCCCCCCGCCCCCCCACTGCTCAAAGTAAAGGAGTAAAGAGCTCCTGCACCTGCTAGACTGAGCCCCTCCTTCTCTACTTGCTGAATGGCCCACTGTCCTCACACTGAGGGCTCACAGACAGAGACCAGCCAAATCAAGCAGCTAGCTGGTAAACCAAAAATACTCAAGAGTTTAATGGGGCTTTAGAGGCAACATAAATAACTCAATGACAGATAGAGATGTAGGCCTTGAGTCAGGCACTCACTTCCAGATGACATGATGCTTGTAGAGTGTCCTTGTCTACAAGGAATGTGTCATATATTGATCAAGAAACACAAGGAAAGTAAAAAGAGACATGCACTGAGCTGTAGCATTCCCTCATAAATCCTCAGCAGATTTTTATTCTGCAAAAGAAGTAAAGAAGCATAAAAACAGGGTCATTATCCTTTTACAGTGACAATTCAGACTGCATCACACACAAAACACAGCTGTGAGGTAAGGCTTTGCAATATGATGATATGTGAGGATAAAACAACATTTTTGTTTCATTATCATAAATATTTTATTTTATGCTTTTGCATTAATCTCTTGTCAAAAACACTCTTTGGCAAAATTTTTGGTTTTGACTGACAACCAATTGACAATCAAGTTAAGTAACACAATCAAAGTTTGTAAACCTTACACAGCCTTCCAAAACTTCCTATCTTCCATGAAATTGACAGCTACAGACTATAACATAAATGTATCTGTTCTGTATTTGGTTCAACCCTCATCTAATACAATCACTGTATTAGGCTATGTTATATATGATTACATAAACTATTTTTGGAAATAATTTCAAAATATTGTGGATTTCTACGGTGGATAGATCAAGTGATCATTTGCAAAATATGCATGACTGTGCTTATGAACCACAAACAAACTTTTCTTTTACTTGAATGACACCAGCCAGGAAATCTGCAGTCTCAAACTGACATTGATATTGATCAATATAAAAAATATTCTGATTCTTAGAACCAAATATTTCCCAGCCTAAAACCTCAATGGGAATAAAAATGTGATTTTCAAAGTCCAGACAGAAAGAAATATTTAGCTCTGTACTATTACTGTACTACTCTCAGGCAGTCCAAAAAGCCTGTGACAGTAGTAGTAGTAGCTGGACTAATACTTGTGATATGTGTCCCTGTGACTCCTGCCAACAGAGAAATTAGGACTCCTGCCATTTCTATGAGCCACTGACTAATGATGCCTTTCTCCCTCAGCTCATGTTTCAGCAATGTGTGAGGCACACAAGAGGCACAGCGGCAGAAATACGGGCTCTCGACATGGCACTGAGCGAAATCTCAACAGGGCAGCAAAGTGCTCTGGGTGCACTACGATTTTGGGAATTGAATGGAAAAGTCACCACCGCTGAGCCAAACTTGTACACACGTATTATATATGTAAATGACTATGTATAAGATTTGACACAGAATTTAACTGTATAGTTCAATCTGTTTTTCCAAATAAAGGACATCAAGATGAACACATGACTAACCACTGGTGATTATAATGGATAAAAACTGTTTCTTTGATACTGTTTATTTGATAAAATGATTATTAATAGGATATCCACTGAGGGCTTGTTTGATTTTGTTACAGAATCAATAATAATTTAAACCTAAAAAGGATTTGTTTGGTCAAACTCTAAGACAATGGTGATCTTTAAGCTGTGTAACATTGGCTTACAAGCTGGGTAAACTATTTCAACTGATAGCCACAGTTTAATCCTCTTAGTTATCTTTGAAAATGTTCCCAGGCTAGACAAGGTTCTTCTGAGTAAAAACCTCCACAACCACTAATAAACAAGCACTTTTTATAGCATGTGCCTACATCACTGGCACAGTATAACTAATGTGCCCGTCTCCATCGTCTCGCTCTAGTTTTGACTCTTTTTCTGAACAAAAACAGGCACTATCTTCTTGCTCCTGTTCCTTGCTGCCCTTCTGTCACAAACACAAAGTGTCACTTGATTTCAGTTATGCAAAGGGCTCTGTTACGAAAGGCTGAACTCTGCTTTTAAGGAACAGAGGAGCTCTGTAAACATGGGCTCAGAGAGGCCACGGGCAGGAAAACACTGCTCAAAGTCTCACAGCAACTAGACTCTTTGCTTTTGTGTCAAGACGTCTAAACTGCGGCTTTCAATATTTTCAAGAAACTGGTGCAGTAGTGCTCATTTTTTGGTCAGACAAACCTGGATAAACACAGCACACAAAGGGAAGTGCTGAAGTCCTTGAGTAGGTCTCAAAGCGGGTGAAATACTAGATGAGGAAAAAGTCACGATATTGACACAGAATACAAATATGCTCCACAAAGGGCAGAAAAAAAGAGGCCAGCGAAACAAAGAGAGGGTGAGATAAGCCATCCTCTGTCTTTGATGACAGTCCAGGCCGCACAGATTCCCCTGAGAAGGAGGAAAACAAATCTGAACGCAGTCACAAGATCTGCAGAGGACAAAAAACCTGAATCAAGATGAGAGGGCCAACACAATGAGCAAGCTTTGACATAAACTCTGAGGCGAATGGGGCCTTCCAGACGAGAGGCTCAACACATGCACTGGCACTGCTACAGACACCCACAGGCAAGTCAATGGCTCACTGCCAACACTGCGAATGAACTCAGTCACCTCACTCTAGCGTGCTTGCCTTTCTCCCCTTTTTTGCTTTCGTCTTCTCCATAGAGTAGAGTGGGCCTCAGCCTTCAGAGGTGCAAGCCAACATTTCATCCTCTTATCCCACCCCCGCCCTCCCTCTCCATTTTAGGAATGGCTATGGAAATACTAGCACGGAGAACACAGACGGCGTCCAGCCTGCCAAGGAGAGCAGGAGGCTGACTTCAAACAACAGTTTAATTCCACTGACATAAACAGTTAATCAGATCCCTGTCTGGTCTGACTTGGTAAGGAGAATGAGAGAATCAACAGCTTGTAACATATTTTCTGTTAAGAGCCTTGATAGCATGGCTTTGACCTTGATAGAACGTATGTGTATGTGTATGTGTGTGTGTGTGTGTGTGTGTGTGTGAGAGATCAATCACTCTAACAGCAATAATGCACTGTAAACTGTATGTCCATAACAAATTTTGCCACTATTTTTACACTGGGAAAAACACATTACACAATTGAGCTTTTAAGGAAAATACTTCTATGACGGCCAAAATAGATGTAGGCTACATTCAAAGGCATGGAGTTGTTGTGAAAAGGCAGATGAGTGCACTGTAATGGGCAAAAAGCTTGGTGTGGGAACAACATCAGAAGTCTATAAAGCAGTGCCCTAGAGACTTGTGCTCAGGGGAGGGGGGCTGCTGGGACTCTCAGCCTAGGAATGTGGCACCCTGTCAGGTCTCATAAGGATTTATCTGCCTGGAACCTCATTACCGTAGGGCCCCGGACAAGCAGGCTCTCGCTCGCTTACTCTTTCACTCACTCACCCTCAACACCGAAGTGCTCCCTTACACTATGTCTGCATGCAAGCACTTGCTTTAAAAGTAATTTTAAATCTTTACTTACAGTGTGGGTGGTCCAGTTCACATTTTAAGGTGCACACACAAAGTCACTTGCTATTTGTACCCAACATCTTGTAAAATTGATGTACCAAGTTCAAAATTTTAGATGGGAAATGGAGGCCTCTTCAATCAATGTTTATTTAGTCTTTTAGCAGCCTTACTATGCTTCTGCATTAGTTTCAACCCTCATCTGCAGTAGCAGATTGCTCTACTCTCACACTTTGCCTTCCTTCCTATCCACCCAAACTTCTTAACAAGGAAACAAAGTTCTCGCACTTAATCCACTGACGCTTCAGTATTGGGGCCCCAAGAGCTTTTCGAGGGTCAGGGTGCAGAAACAAGTCCAATCCCTCTCAAGACAGACACCATGGAAACACTTAAGCCTTTTCCAAGTGACCTCACCCATTTTCTTTTTAGCAAAACTATCAGTGGGGCTCCCTATAACACTGCTATTATCCAGAGTACCATGCAAAGCCAGTTAGTGAAGCCAGTTTCTGGGTTACATTTTTCTTTAGAGGAAGAATAATGGTTTTCTTGACTGCTTTCAGAAACTCAGTCTTAAAACTAGTGGTACATTCCTCTTGGTCTATGTTAATAACAGCACTGTCAGAAGTAAACTAACCAAAACAGAGCTAAATAACAGCAGAGAGTCACAGTACAACAGCCAGTAAAAAAAATTGGAGGATGACTGCAAGCTCCTTTAAAAACACTAGATGTCCCAAACTCTAGTGCAATGCCCTTTACACTGCCAAGCAGCAATGCAAGATATTTTACTGTGGGTACATGCTTAACTTCAACCACAGCCTACAAGATGATCACATGCTTATATTTTGAAATATATATATTGCAACAATACCATGCAATGTAACAAACCTCATCTTGCCAGTCGAAAGCTAGTTATTATTATCAGAGGAATATCGTGGAATCCAAACCGGTATGTTTCTCTAACCATTAAAGAACAAATAAGCAAGACAGAGAATGGGTTCAGACAGGGAAGTAAATCCAATAGGTAGGTAAGAAGAGAGTGGCCATAAAAAGCAGCAGGTGATAGAATTATTGCCTTTGTGCAGCTCCTGACAGGCAGGTGGCCTGAGCATTGCTGTTAGTGCCAACAGTGAAAGAACGCCCAAACACCCCAACTGATGTCAGCTTATCCCCGCTCAGCTTTCATACAGGCACTCCGCAGCAACAAAAAATAAATAAATCTGCAACTGAAGATGCTGTGAGAAATGTGTGAACACGCAGTCAACTTTGACA